TTGGACTCAAAAGTTTTTGCCATCCAAAGCCAATCCAATTTTCATTGCAGCACTTTTTTTCCACCAGAGACCCAACACAGCCTGAACTGTTTATCACGCTATCTTGCCTGCTTTCCCACTTTTTGCTGCCACACACGAATGAAAAAGAAACCCCCTCTTCATTTATAGCAGAATCAAAAATGCTCTAAAGCTTTTAGCTTTCAAAGCAGATAGGTTTGCCTCAGGTGAACCATGAAGTTCTCTGTCCTCCAAAACAGGCTAAAACGTCAAGCTGTTTTTCCTTTACTTTTCCCTTTTTTCTGCTACAAGGAATCACAGACTTTTCATCCTACTGTAAAAAACAAATGCCAGAATTAAAGCACATCAAGTAAGCACTCTTTCAAAATCTTCTAAAATTCAAGGAAGGAAGAAATATAATCATCTAAAAAAGAAAGAGAAGCAGCATTAAAAATCTGACTTCCTGGGTTCACTATTTCTCTAGGTATTTTCCTTGCTTGTTTGATCGGATCTTTCCTTCTTGATGCTTGTCTACAGCACATAGTTCCAGACACAACATTTGCAGCTGTACAAGAAGGAAACATATGAAGTATTCCAATCGTTTTATTTGAATAACATTTATGAGCTCAATTAATTAGTATATATACCACACTATGTGAAAAGAGGAAAAAGGAGAGGGAGAAAGAATATGCAAGTTTGATGACCTGGTTAACTCAAGAAGGACGACGAGGTTTGCTCAGTTCAATGCCCAGACTTGTCCCATAGTTCCTCAACTTATTTACTTCCAGTCATCATTACTCAACATATGGTCGCAATTTATTAGTCCATTCACAATCTATTGAGCCCAAAGCAAAACGTGCCAAAGACCATACATTATTCCTCTGCAATAACAGGATCAGTTTCTTCTACCCTCTGTATTCTTCTGTTTCCTTCGCAGCTATCGATTTAGATTGTGGAGGTATTTATTAGGCTTTTTCTGTGCAGAGGGTGTTTTTTCTTCCTCTTCTTGCAAACTTTTTTCACCAGTGAAGACCATGTGGAAAGTTGAACATTACTGGCAGGTGTCTTTCCATGGGTTACTGATTCCTGTGCTGTAAAGGTGCTCCATCTGGTTCTCAAATTAATTTTCATCAATTGCAAAGCTCTCAGGAATATGCAAGAGTAAGTCTATGTGATGACAAAACCATGTGCGTTTTCATGTACATGCAGTGCACACACCAGCTCACTCAATCTGGTACTCAGAGCTGCATCTGCCTTTCCAGTTTAGCTGTGGTAATCTTGTGAGACGCCAGTCATTCAAAGCTTGAAATCCCTGGATCCTTCCAACTCTGCAAGACAAAGCACACATACATACACACACACAAAAAAAAAGTTAATAAAATAAGCCACAAAACCACTTAAAGGTGCAAGAGCTATTGTTACAGTAATCAAAGCATTATGATTAAGGATTTTATACTGGACTCCTATAAAATATCTTTATTATATATAGATACATGCAATATTCAGACACACACATATGTATTGGATATACACACAAATACGAACTATAAAATTTTCTTTTTCACTTCCAAAGTTCCCAAAACTTTTCACAATTCACACATATAACTAATGAAATATATCCAGGAAGGATACATTAGGTGGGGAAAAAAAAGGAACTTTGTTTTCGCCACAGTCACCGGGGCAAACTCTTAAAACAAAGATTCCACAACTCTGGAATGAGGGTAGGGAAGGGAGGTCTCAGCGATGGAGCAGACACAGAGTTAGGCCCCGAGGCACACAAACAGAATCACAGAATGGCTGAGGTTGGAAGGGACCTCTGGACACTATCTGGGTCCAGCCACCCTGCTCAAGCAGGGTCACCTAGAGCCAGGTGCCCCAGACTGTATCCAGGTGGCTTTTGAGTATCTCCAAGGATGGAGACTCCACAACCTCTCTGGGCAACCTGTGCCAGCGCTCGGTCATGCTCACAGTGAAAAAGTGTTTGCTGATGTTCAGAGGGAACCTTCTGTGTTTCAATTTGTGCCCATTGCCTCTGGTCCTGTCGGCACCACTGTAAAGAGCCTGGCTCCCTCAACTTCATTCCCTCCCATCAAGTGTTTATACACATTAAAAAGACCTCCCTGAGCCTTTTCTTCTCCAGGCTGAACACTCCCAACTCTCTCTGACTTTCCTCATCTGAAAGATGCTCCAAACCATGAAAGTACAGTGCTAAACTTATTGGTCTCAAAGGAGACAGAGAAGATTCCTCCAGGGCTTAAATTAGTGCTTTAAAGAGATCTAAGGTACTCCAAAATTAAAGCTTAGAAGTTTGAATCAATACAGATGAATTTTAAGGACTACTCAAATCCTGCATAAGTCTCCACTTCAAAAAAGGAGGGGAAATTACCCAAATTCAGTTGTATAGAGAAGAACGTAAACAGAGTAGAAGAGACCAAGCAAAAGGCTGTCCAGGATATGCCAGAAGTTGTATATGAAGTGCACACATACGCACAGTTATTGCATCTATACAGTTACTGCTAAAGAGAGCTCATTTAAATGAAGAATTGCATTCATTACATTCATCAGAGCTGTAAAAATGGTCTTGTCTGTATCACACGTGGCACTGTCCTGACATCACATTTTGAGCAATTAACCACTTTTTTTTTTTTTTCAGTCTAGCATAGATGTACCAATAAGAATTGTTTTAAAAAGGACAAAAAGACATGAAAAATTTATAGATATAAAGGCAAGGCCATAAAGTAGTTTACACCACCATTTGGCTAGCACACTTATCAGGAACACTATCCATGAGGTTTGGTGAGTCACTACCAGAACTCTTCAGCATTACCACTAACCAAAAATTAAATATAATGGCTGCTACCATTTTTTTTCATCATAGCATGATGAAGATATGAGAAATGTCACCTTGACTCCCCAGATTTATGGTGCTTCTCAATTACAGTCCAAAGAAAGTTCATATAAAGGAAAATTCAGAGAAACTTTCACAACACAATGGCTTGAAGAATAATCTCCGCACTTATCCCATAAGCAAACTTGATCCTGTCAGGGATCAGTGCTTATTATTTCATAGCCACTGGGGTCTTCCTAACAAGCATCTGCATTCAAGATTTGACATTTTGTTTTAGTAGCATGTGTATTATGATGAAAGCATTTACTAATCCTACACAGAAACAAAAAAACTTGGTTTACCGAGAAAACAAAAGTCTCTGAAACACCAGTTAGAGCAGCATGAATTAAGCATGAAACAGAATTGTTTGAACTGTGCAAGTACCATGACTTTACAAGTAGATTTTCAAATACAGAGAACTATAGATGCAGTGGCTTTGCACAAGATCTGTATGCAATTTCTGTCCTTATTCACTGCATATAAAATTAACAAGTTTGAGAAAAGGACTCTCCTGCATCTTGGCCAATAACCTTCTCTCACCTGAGTCCCATTTACCATCACTTTCAAGATTAGACAAACCAAAGGCTTCTCCTTAAAAATATCCTAACTGCATTAGGAATGCTGGACAGGGAGAGATGAAAATCTAAAATAACTACAAAAGGAATAACGTCAGTCATTATTCAAATACCTCTCTCTCAGTACAATATACCCTACAAGAATATTTTACCTCTAAATCATTGAGGGTCAACGCTTCCTTTATGCTGTGCTTATATTCAGTAGACAAGATAAAAACTTTTAAGACTGTAGTGTCAAATACTCAAAAGACAGGCTGAGTTAAGATTACATATATTATATATTAAGATTTAATTCTTTCCATTCCTCTCTCCTTCATTTCCACCCACTTGGTATTTCCTAAGAAACAACCTTATTAAAAGATCCAGATGCTAGTCTTCCCTCAAGAAAATCAGTAACTAATTCAGACACACATCCCCTTCTTCTACCATGACAGCAGTGCCACAGTTCTGCTCCTCTTCACATGTTCAGACTAAGCTTTTTGCCTTCTTTTTCCCTATCATGAAACCCAAGGGTAATGGTTACTACCTCTGTTGTAAAGCATGTGTAAGAGCCAAGGATAAAGAGCATTGCAGAATAGCTTGGTGTTACTTGCACGATCTTACCAGTTGCGTAAATTCAGTTTGGGCTCCCCATACAAAGAGAACTTGAGCTTCCAGATGAAATTCATCCACACCAAATTTTTAACTGCAGATTCTTTATAATCAAACTTTACACATCTTTCCTTTCAGAGCAGGGCAAGGGCTAATCATAGAAGTACACTGGGTTCTGAAAAAATACTTATTTTTGCTGGTAAATTATTTCTAGCACTACTATGACACTAAATATCAACAAATTGCAGTTACCTAGTTCTACTCTCACTTAAAAGGGTAGCTGAAAATATCTTTGCTTTGGATTTTCCCTTTAACAAAGGGAGATGCTACTTGAACTCATCCCCTAATACTCTTCTGAGTCTAAACCCAGCGATGTAAAATACTTAAGTACAAACACCTAATGAGACAAAAACATGTTAGGCCTGTGAGACAGGAAGGAAAGATCCACAAGTATTTTATCTGATTTTGCTTTGAAAGCATCTCTCTTCTCAAATGCAAAACCAGCAACAAGTTATGTTTCCACATTATAGAACTAAATTCAGGTATTAATTTTTAAAAATGGGCTTATTAACAATGGCTTTCATATTTTAGTGTCAATATTTAACTCATCATATTTATCTCCTAACTGTGTCCATTAACTTACAAAAAGTGTAAGTGTTAAGCCACAGCTGGACAACCAGAAAAATATTTGCTTGTTCTCATGCATCTTTCATTGAGGTAGCTCTTTTGTTGACAGAAAGAAGTCGTGCACAGCCAAGTATACCAATATTGCAGCAACCTCTTCATCATTTTATGTTTATTCAAAACCCCTCTCTTCAAGGCTCTGGAGCAGAGT